AGAAGTTTTCCCTGCCCTGTAGATAGGTCATAAAAAGTTATTTCTGGTAATAACTCATTTAGTTCAATTTAATTTCTCTAAGGGACAAGTAAGATTTTCTCGTGAACGCACAGGGTCTTGGTGGCCTTCAGCTCAAAAATAATCCCTGTCAAAGCGGCAGGTCTTAGAGAGGCTTTTTTTTGAACTCCTTCCGTTTCGTCCTTTGTTATCCAGGGCTCGATCTTTCTAATACTCAGAATGTTTACAAATCGGGACCACCTTTATGCACTTCTCAGACAAGGAACATTTGGGCCACTCCAGCTGTGAATACAGCTCAGAAGGGATCATTTCTAATTGCAGCTGAGACAGGAGAAACGGAGTAAGCCGGCATCAATGCCCTGACCCCACGTTTCCCCCATGACCTCCCTGGACGAGGGGAGGCGATGACACGAGGCAGCCGGTTCACTGAGTGGCTGGGAGGCAGGCAAGGCACGTCACTCTAGTGTATTATGATTAAAGGACAAATCATCTGTGCAGTGTCCGTGTTGGCTGGTGGGCCCCACCCAGGCTGTCAGCAAGGGAGAATTACCAGGTTCCAAACGGCCTGGAACGCGTAGTGAGACACAGTGGGTTCTCGGGGTATTGAGGGCAGGACACGACAGTGCTGGTAACCACCTTGGGCTCCTCCTCCGCGAGAACAGGCGCAAGGAGGGGAGAGCATACGAGGGCGGGGCGGACCTGAGCGTAAAGTGTTAGAGTGATCTGGCTCCGTCCCTGGCGCAGGGCTGATGGACAAAAATAGACGCCACCTTGGGGAGCCTGGCATGAAAGTAAATTCCAGGGCTGTAGCTATAGCTTGGCCAGTGGGCCACCTGCCAATTCCCAGAAATGCCTTTGTCATGCAAAGCGGAGGTGGTGGCCCAGTGCAGGAGGGAGGAGAGCTTCCTCTGTGGGTACCCTGACATTGCGGGGGCTGCCCCACCTGTCGTTAGTCCCTTGTTATTCAAAACACAGCCCGTAGGTCTGCAGCATTGCTCTCACTGGGAGCTTGTTAGAAATGCTGAACCCCAGGCAGGGCCCGGGAAGGGTGGGGCCAAGGAAGGTGGCCCCTCCAGCGCAAAATCCAGGCGGCACCCCAAAACTCAGTGTGCAAGGTAAATCATATTTTAAAAAAATCAAAATTCAATCACAAAACCCATGATGAACAAAATATCATCATTTTAAATGAAGACAGGATCTGACGCTGCGCTTGAACGATCCTACCTCTCTCACCTCGCCTGAGTCCTCGCCCAGGTCCCAGGCCCACCCAGACTTTCAGAATCGACATTCTAACAAGATCCCCGGATAATTTACATGCACATCAAAGTCTTTTGGACTTTGGATAACACCTCTCAAGCCATCACAACCCAAAATCTTGGTATCCAGACAGCAGCAAAATTAGAAAGGGATGAACAGAAGCATCTAACCCCACTCGTTTGCTGGCCACTTATTTGCATTTGCACAGTACCGCCTTAAAATTGTACAGTGTTTCATATATTACTCTAAACTTTAAGACATGTTTAATTCTGAAATAATTATAGATTCCTAGGAAGTTGCAAAGAGAGTACAGAGAGATCCATGCGCACTTCCCCCAGTTCCCCACAATGGTTACATTTTACGTAGCTATAGCAACAATATCAACACGAGGACTGTTGACATTGGTGTAAGCGTAGGCATAGTTAGTTATATGTCATTCCACCACTTTCGTAGATTCATGTAACTGACGCAATTAAGATACAGAAGTCCGTCACCCCAAGGCGCACCCTGGAGCTACAGCTTTTTAGTCATAGGCACCTCCCTTTCCTGCCCACCCCCAAGCTTAACCCTTGGCGAGCATTAATGTGTAGAATTTCTCAGAATGCTGTGTAAATGGAATCATACATATGCGACCATTTGAGATGGGCTTTTTTTCACTCAACATGATGAACTGGAGATTCATCCCAATTGTTGTGTGTATCATTGGTTTCTTCATTGAAGTGTTTTTGCACCTTCGTCAAAATTCAGTTGGCCATTCTTGTGTGGGGCTATTTCTAGACAATTGTATTTCATTGATCTGTGTGTCTGTCTGTCTGCCAATACCTCACAGTCTTGATTACTGTAGCTATATAATGAGGTTTATAATTTGAATCGATTGATTTTTCCCACTTTCTTCTTTTTTTTAAAAAAAGGTTTTTAACTAAGCTAGTTCCTTTATCTTTCATATAAACTTTATAATTATTTCATGCCAACAAATCTTTCTGGCATTTGGATAGGAAGTGCATTACATTTATCTACTAATTTGGGGAGAATGAATATCTTTACAATGTTGAGTCTTCTAAATGACAAGCACATTATATCTCTACTTTATTTAGGTCTTTGATTTCTGTCATCAGCATTTTGTAGGGGTTTTTTTTTTTTGCAATAATAGCATTTTGTAGTTTTTAATGTACAAGTTCTGTATATGTTTTATATATTCATACAGTGAAGCGATAAGTATTCATTTGTTTGAGTGGTTATAAAGAGTCTTGTATTTTTAATTTCGGTTTCCATATGTTTTTGCAATTACTTTTCTTTTCTTTTTTAAATATTTTATTTATTTATTTTTAGAGCGTAAGGGAAGGAGAAAGAGAAGGAGAGAAACATCAATGTGTAGTTGCCTCTCGAGTGCCCCTAGCTGGGGACCTTGCCTGCAACCTAGGCATTTGCCCTGACTGGGAATCAAACCGGTAATCCTTTGGTTTGCAGGCTGGCACTCAATCCACTGAGTCACACCAGCCAGGGAAGACTTTTCTTATGTTGATCATGTATCTTATGGACTTACTGAACTCATTTATTAGTTCTAGGAGTTTACTTACAGGTTTTTTTTGTGATTTCGTGCTAAATGCAAATAGAGACGACGTTTTTTTTTCCTGTTAGATTTCTACATCTTTAATTTCCCTTTTTTGCTTTATTGAGCTAGCTAGAACTTCAAGTACTATTTTGAATAGCTTTGATACGAACATTCTTGCCTAGTTGCTGACTTAGGAAGAAAAGCATTTAGTCTTTTGCTGTAAAGTATGAAGTTTGCTGTAGGTTTTCATGAATGGGTTTTTTAATTGTATTTTTTCCATTACCACGTAGTCCCCTTATACCCCCTTGCCGCCCCCAACAACTACCCCTTTGTTGCGCATGTCCATGAATCCTTTTTCCTTTTTGCTCAGTCCTTCTACCCCTACTGTCCCTCCTTAGCTGTCATCCTGCTCTCTCTCTGAGTCTGTCTCTATTTTGCTTGTTGGTTCCATTTGTTTGTTAGATTCCACATAGGACTGAAATCATATGGTATTTGTCTTCCTCTGATGGGCTTATTTCACTGAGCGTCGTGTTCTCCAGGACCACCCATACGGTTGCAAAGGGTAAGGGTTTCCTCCTTTTTCATGGCCAAGTAGTGTTCCATTGTGTAAATGTCCCATAGTCGGCGTCCATCAGTAGATGAGTGTTTGTTCTTTATCACGCCAAGGAAATTCCCTTCTAGCCCTAGTTTTCTGAGTTTTTATGGTGGCAAAGGAAGAGATTTCCTCTGCTCTTCAAGGTTTGGAGGCCCAAACTCAACAAGGACAGAGTTCCTTTATTTGGGGTCTCGACCTATGTATCTCTTCACCTGGCTGTTGATTCTTATCCTTAAAATCCTTTGTAATACATCAGTAATCTAGTGAATAAATGGGTTTCTTGAGTTCTGTGAGGTACTCTAGCAAATTAATCAAACTAAAGGGGGGTGATCTCAGAACCACAGAGCTCCACAACACAAAGAGCGAATCTGAACGTAAACTATGACCTACAAATAATAATGTGCCAGTATAAACCTATAAAGTGTAACACATGTACCACAGCAATGCAAGGTAAGAATAATAATAGGGGAAATGGTTTATGTGTATGTGTAGAGGGTATAAGAAGGTGAAGGGCTAAGTATATAGAACTCTATATACTATCTGCTCAAATATTTTATAAATCTAAAACTGTGCTAAGAACATCAAGTCTGTTATTATTTTTAAAACTCTAAGAGGTTTCACATTAAAAGAAAAAAAGGCAAATGCGATGAGAATTTTTTAAGTTTTAAGAGAACCAGCTAGGCCACCCTGGAACCTAGCCTGTAAACCGCCCAGCCAGCCTCGCCGTCCAGGCCCCGGTCCAGGCCCCGGTCCACCCCCAGACCCCCTCACCTGCGAGATAAATCCATGCCTGATTTCCGCGGCGGTACCAGCTCAGGTCTGGTTGGAGTTATACCATGAACCCCCTTAGAAGTAAGAACCAAATTTTTCCTTCCTTTCCCAGGTCACTGAATATTCTCATGGAAAGGAAATCGGGCACGGCTGGCCAGTTTGAAAAAGCAACATCACAAATTCCTTCCTAAGGAAAAAAGCCTTTTTTTCGCTCTGGCTGAACTTTCCTCATAGATCTGTAATGATGTGGGTTTTTTTTTTATCTGATTGTTAATTCTCCCTAATTATGCGGAAGGCTCTTTAAATTTGTTTCGGTGGTTTTTCTCTTCTGAGTAACTAGATGAAGCAATCAGCCCACCTTTCATAATAGAAGAAGGCGGCTCCTCCTCCTCCTCCTCCTTCTGTTATTTATTTATTTATTTATTTATTTATTTATTTATTTATTTATAATTGCTCCTGCACTGTAGGATTTCTGCCAGTGATCGTAGGGGTAAATCTCAGTCTGTTGCTCTAATGGCTTTTAGTGAGGGGCTTGTGCTAAATCCCTCTAGCTACGCCGGCTCATCCAGCAGAGAACCTTTAAAACTGGATGTATCCCCTTGAGGTTGAAATCCTCTTGCTTGGGGGCTGAAATCTGGTTCCGTAACCTTTTAAATCCCCAACTTTTGCTTTGAAAGTTGGCTCTTTCTATTTAAACAGCAAGACAGATGAAAAATAAGCCTTTAGGGCTGAATATATTGATTTCAATGATCACCTTTAATCCATACCTTTCCTTTTTATAAAGTGTGGTTTTCCTCTCTTAATTAGAAAGAGCCAGAGATTATCTGCATAAAACCGGCAGGTTTATTGTGATCGGCGGGATCATCTCTCCTGTCCACGACTCCTATGGAAAACAGGTGGGTTCCTCCTTGGCCCGTTCCCGCCCTCCCTCCCACCCCCGGACCTGGTGGCTTCTCTGGCATCAAATTGCCCTGCCACCGTTTCTGCTATGATTCCTGGAAAAGCAAAATGCCCAGTAGCAGGCACCCTGCTCCCCAACCCTGGACCACAGTCAGACCCGAGCGACTGGTGTTGGGCAGCAGCTGGGAGGCACAGCTGCCCACGACCAGGCAGACGCTCTCAGTGCCAGGCTCAGTCCAAACTCATTAAAGGAGAGTCGGGCACACCCGCGGAGGGCCAAGTGTGCCACCGCATGGATGCCAAACTCATGGCTGGTCGTGGGCTGGGCGAGTCTTTCCTGGGATTGTAGGGAGAAAAAGAAAGGCTTATACCTTTCATAATCTGATTTAAAACTCATCCCCCTGCCCCTTCCTCCCTGCCACAGGCCTTAGAAAATCTAGAAGCCCCCCCACACCCCTCCTCCATCATTCTCCTTCCTCCCCCGTACAATTTGGGGGCTCCGGGGGAGGTCGCCGAAGCGCCAGATCGAGCCATGAGACAAGGCAGCATCTGCTAAGTTGAGTCTCATCGTCTCTGTGCTGGGCACACTGGCTGCTCAGTTGGCATGGGAGGCTCACTTACGGGTCCTGGGGCGGGTGGTCTACTCCACCCGCCTTTCATTCTTTTTCTCTCATCTCTGACCTTTCATGCCCGTCTGTGTGGCTGAGGGACAAGCAAAGGGGACACACCCTCATTCCCTGACATCCCCGAAAAATGGCTGCTCTTTTGTAGCGGGCGGCTCAGGATAGCATCTCGGGGAGGCTGTGGGGGGCAGACGGATGTCCCCACGATCACTCTGTCGCTCCTCAGGGCCTTGTGTCGAGCCGGCATCGTCTCATCATGTGTCAACTGGCCGTCCAGAATTCTGATTGGATCAGGTAGGGCTGGTCTGACGGTGCAGCGGCCGGTCGCCCTGGGACTCGCTGGGGGTGGGTGGAGAGAGAAATGGGTGCTGGCGGGGGCGCGGGGGGGAGGCCAGGGGAGGGAGATGGTGACCCTGTTAAATACAAAATTCAGCTGAGTAGACTTAAAGGTCAAATTGGCTTTCAAAGACGCATGCGTCAGGCAGCATCACATTTAGCAAGCAGAGAGGAGCCCCGAGGAGCTGTACAAAGTGGAAAACTTCTGTGCAGAAGGAGGCTGTTGGCTGAGGTGACCCCTGGTGGTACTGACCCGATTGTTGGGCTAAGATTACATTCCTGGGAGAGGCTGCCGCTGCTGTTGAGTTAGGTGGTAGGTCCCGGTTTGATGGTGTGAGCTTAGCGCAAGCGGCTCCCTTTGGGGTCTGCGGTCTCCTTGTTTAACAGCCCCATGTAAGCAATAGTTACACAGGCCTTCAGGGGTGGCCCAATTGATAACTCAAATTTGTAACCAAGCTCTGGGGCCCATGAAACTAAAGAGGGTGTTTTTAGTGTTTCATCTTCTCCGACACCTTTGGATCTAAGAGTATTCTTGGATCTTCCAAAAACACCTTTGGGGTGGGGGGGAGGCACGGCCAGGAAATCCAAAATGCTTCCCCATTTTCATATCCACTCATGTCCATGAAACCTCACTCCCTTCCAGGGCAAGTTCCCTGGCCTGGGCTATTTCCCAGTCCCTAACTCGACTCTCTAGCGCCCCACACTGACTGTGGGACAGAGGTGCGGGGGCAGGCGCATGCGCTGCCTCTCCCGGGGAAGTTCTGCTAGGACTGCAGACACCGCTATCCACTGAGCCTGCAGTGTAATTAAAGCAACCTTCCGCTAATTATGCTAATTACACTCCCCACCGTTCCTACAGCTATAATTTGCATGAGTAGATGACATTTGTTAAAAATAATGCCACACCATTTGTACTGTAATTTCCCACGATGGAAAAGTAAGCAGCACCTAGAGGTTCCCAGGGAGGAAGGAAATTGAAAGAAAACTGACCTCAGAATGAGGTACACAGGGAGGTGATGGAGAAGATGGGGTGGGCAAAAGCCAGAGCCACGAAAGGAGGCGACAGTGATAATCAAATATTGATCCTTGCTGATTGTACACAGTGATCTCTGTGAGAGGCAAGTGCCCTCAGTAGGACTATGTCTCAGTCCTGCTCCCCGGAGACATAGGTTAGTGGAGACAGAGCCGCCTCTTCTCCGATGAGGTGTCAAAGGGCTAGAGAGTGAACAGCCTACCTGTGGCTGAATCAGGACTGGGAACGAAGCCTCTCAATGTTGTACCGTTACTGCTTGGCTGGGATGAGAAGATTCTAAACTTATTCCCTCATTCGTTCAATGACTATTGATTGAGCACTTCCTGCCTGCCCTGCACTGCCCTGGGCACTTAGAGAATCAGAATTCTGAACTGAGGTCCCTGGGGATGCTCGGAGCTAGGTCTAGAGATGGGGGCTGGGCACGGCGGGGCCCCTGGATTTGGGGAGCCTGTTTAGCCAGGTCAGGCATCTGTCCACCTGGTCGGGGGGCTGGGGGGTGCTGTGCAGCGCTCTGGGCGAAGCCAGGCTCAGGGCAGGCTGAATCGCTAAGAGTTTTCAGTTGGTGCGATTGCCTCTCTGAGAACCTGAGGTGTGTGTGTGCTGGGAGGTGGGCAGGGAATGCTCAACTGCTAAGAAAATGTTGCAAAATATCCCAATTTAGCAGCTCATTAAGTTCATAATTAGGGCCGAGAGCTGCATCAGTCCGGGCTGGAGCCCCGCTGGCCGTCATGCTGGTGTGCGCCTTCCGGCCTGACTGCCACCTGTGCGCGGAGGCCCGTGGGGCCGCTTCCACAGCTCAGGGGGCTGCGGCCTGACGCGGGCTTGGCTCTCACAATCCTGTCAGTTCCTGATGAGGATTCCCATTTTGCAGGGAAGAATAAGGGCAAGACACAGTACCAAGCTCTTCATGTCTCACACTCATCGCGCCCTTCTAATCTCCCCACCCGAGAGTTGCTGCTGTGCGTCCCATTTCACAGATGAGAAGAGTGAGCCCTGAAGGCTCACATCACTGCCCCAGGGCCCACGGCAGGGGCAGTGGCTCATGGCCGGCATAGCTATGCCCCTGCCCTTGCCACGGGCCGCCGGGGGCCTGGGGCTAAACCCAAGCCGACCCGTGTCAGCAGCTCCGCGCGCCAGCCCACACCACATACCTCTCCTTTCACAGAGGGGAAAGCGAGGCTCAGGGAGGTGTGCCAGGCCCGTGTTTTATCTGATTTGAGAACTAAGTGTGCAGCGTGACCAGCGTGCGGAGCTCCCTGAGCTGTGGTCTTTGGAGGGAAGCAATGAGAAATGAGTGAGAGGCCAGAAACCAAGGGAAGCCTCTTTCTGTCTCTGCCAGGGTGGACCCGTGGGAGTGCTACCAGGACACCTGGCAGACGACCTGCAGTGTGCTGGAGCACCACCGGGACCTCATGAAGGTGAGCCGGGCCGCGCGGCGGCGCGGGCGGGCTGCAGGAGCCGGGCGGCCGTGGCAAGGGTGCTGCTGGCCTCCGGACCTGCTGCTGTCTCTGGTTTCCCGCCAACCGGGGGAGGGAAGGGGCGAGACCAGGCCCTGACCAGCAGCACAGAGGAGGGCAGTGAGTGAGGAGCCCAGGGTGGCGCCTGGGACTGCGTCTGCCTGGCTCCCCCTGCTGAGTAGGACCGGGGTCGGTTTTCACCTGCTAGGGGCAAGTTCTAGGTGGGGTGGAGACCACAGGCAGGAGACAGGGCAAGGAAAGGCCTGCGAAGCGAGGGGCTCTGGGGGGAGGCGCCAACGGCCAGGTCCTCCTGCCCCACCTGTCTGAGACCCGTCGGCCCCCTCGCTCAGCAGAGGCCGCTGGGCTGAGGGCTGTCCACCTGCCAGCCACTATACCATCACCCCCCCGCCCCCATTCCTTCTCACGTGAGTCCCACTGGCAGGCCCTGTTTTCAGTGCCTGTTGCATCAGCGGGGAAAAGGGAGCACGGAGAGGGGAGCCAACGCATCTGAGGACACACAGCAACTGCTCGGTCAACACAGAGGGGTGCCTGGGCTTGGGGCCCGGCTGCCGTGACTAGAGAGCTGGTTGCCCGGTTGGGCCGGGTTTCACACCAGCCTGTGGACCCCTCGCAGATCAGCGCCAGCCGTCGACTCCCGCTGTGACCGGCTGAGAGGCAGCCCGGCCGGCTGAGACGAGGCCCAGCCAGCCCTGCTCGCCCCAGTGCCCCTGCTGCGGGGCCCTGTCCGGCCCCAAACTGCAATCAGACGCCCTGTCAGAATCTTCTCCCTGGGGAGCTATCAGTGGCCCCTGGACCTCCCACACCACACCAACCGCGCAACAGGTGCGCTGTATCTCAACACACATACACCCTGGGGCTCCAGGCCCTCCAGGGAGCCGAGCGCCGGACGTGGCTGGAGGACCAGCGGGCTGTTGCTGCACCCGTTCAGTTTTTTCCCCACGGAACTGAAGAAAACCCATGCCCCTTCCCTCCACATCCCGAGTCTGCGAGTCCCCTTGAACGGACCAACATAGGGTGGCACCTGGCTGCTCCTCCGTGCTGGTCAGTGCTGAAAGGCACCCCATCTTACTGTCTAAGGGTGTATCTGTCAGGCTAGGCTAAGAGATGCATGGTAACAAGCATCCGTAAAGTCTCAGTGGCTCCACACAAGAGCATTTCTCACACTACGTGCCAGCGGGGAGTCTGGCGGGGTGAGCTGGGGTCAGCTGGGGGCCTGTGCTCCTGAGAGTCACCCAGGAGCCTCCGGCGTCCTGCAGGAAGGGAGGAACCAGGGACGCTGCAGGCATGGTGCTGAGCCGTGGCTATGCCGGCCATGAAGCCTGCTTTGCCGCCCCTCCCTCTCTTGCTTATGCCCAGAGGCATGAGTCTGAGCCAGAGAAGCCGGGCCAGGAGACCCAGGTGTTGCAGTGAGGGGCAGGGACTGGCAGAGAATGTAGGTCGTGATGGCTCCCTGCCTTGGAGCAGGGGCATGCGGCTGCCTCCTAACTACGCTTGCACTCCCAGCCTTAGCATCAGGCTGGTATTTGGGGCATGGAGAGTAGACCCGAGGAGAGACAGGCACAGGGCTTAAGAAGTGAGTCGGGGCCAGGCTGGGAAAGGCCTCTGGGACCGCGAGAGCCCCCGGAGAGCCGACGAGGGCAGACCGGGGCATGTGGCCAGCCCTTTCCTCCTTCTCTGACATAGAACTAAGGATGCGTGCAGCAAAAGGAAGGAACTCCTCAGCTACCAGACTGGTTTCTAAGTGGGAATGTGGCGTTCTCCCATCTGGAGGTGACATAATATTTAAAAGGAGGCAGGCTGTCCCTGTCCCTGCACCAGCCATAGCTGGGCTGAGGAGACACCGTGGTACCTGCCCACAGCTGGTTCCCTCATGTGCTGGATGCTGCTGTGACCTCCTCCTGTCAGGGACCTTACCAAAGGGACAGTCACCCACAAGACTAACACCTGTCCTTCCACAGCTCAGGGCTCATGTGCTGCTCTGCCTACAGTGTGATCTGTGGGAGAGGTGTCTTTGGAGGGCCACCCCAGCCCTGGAGCTTGGGGGTCCTCGGGCAACAGGACTCTGTAACCCAGAAAGGGGGAGGTGCGGGGCTGAGGGCCGGGATGCTGGCCGTCAGGGAAAGGCCCTGGAATTAGCAATGGCTCTTGTGAAGCTAAACAGATAAAAAATTCATCCTTTGTTTCTGTTGCGCAATAGCCACTGTCCCCTCACCATGTGCAAGGTGGGTTGCTTCTGGGTCAGCTGTGACAAACGCTGCGTTATCTGCTGTCTTCTGTGGCACTAGAGAGAATCAGAGGCCAGATAACAGGGACAATGGTTAATACGCATAGAACTTCCGTTCGGCTCTGGAATGTGTATTCACATGGAGGGGCTGTGCCCCCCACCCCCCTTCCCAGCACAGGAACACATCCTGCCCTGCCTGGCACTGCTCTCAGGCGCGGCCCTGCCGCTGGCATCTCTGGCCTGGAGAGGCGGCAGGTGGTGGTAATGCCTGGTGTTTGTTTATGACCTTTCCCGAGCTTACCCAGCCCTGGTGCAGACATGGCCTCATTTGAGCCCCGCGAAGCAGGCAGGGAGGGCAGGGATGCATGTTACCGAGAGGGTCGCAACATTGGCTCCTGTGTACACAGTTCCTGCCACATGCCAGACACTCTAAAGACACTTTGCATGTCCTCACTCGTGTAATTCCCGCACAGCCCAGAAGCATTGCCTCTCTATGCTCGACTCTTGAGTTGAGGTCCAAGAGAAGTTAACTCTCCAAGGTCACACAGCTCGAACTGGAACCGAGGTCTGTGCAACACCACATCCCACGCTTTTGCCAGGGAGCCGCCCTGCTCCTGCCGGCCTGCGGGGCCCTGCAGTGCAGGGGCGTCCAGAACCCGCCCCCAGGGCTCTCCCCAGGCTCCAGGAGCCTCACCACGACGGACGGACGGACGGCGCAGGCGTTTGGAGGTGACTGGGAATCGCTTTTCCTAAGTCACCTGGCTAAGGATGCTGACTCTGCACTTCTCTCTTTCCCCAGCGGGTGACTGGCTGCATCCTCTCCAATGTCAACACGCCCTCCATGACCCCCGTGATCGGACAGCCCCAGAATGAGAACCCTCAGCCCATTTACCAGAACAACAACGTGTCCACCAAGCCCACTGCAGGTAGGCGTGCTGGTGTGCGGCAGAGGCTCCCAAACCTCAGGGTCACCCACAGGCCTTGTTAAAATCCAGTTTGCTTGGTGGCCCCGCCCCCCCGCCAAGAATTTGAATCAGTAGGTATGGGAGGGGGAGGGGAATTTGCATTTTTAATTAGCTGAGGCTGATGCACTGCTCTCTGTCCTGCCAGCCCTTCATATAGCACATCAGAAAGAAAGAGTCACAATTAGAGAGCGAGAGAGACAGAGGGGCAGATAGAGACAAGGGTGATGGTGCACATCCTTCTTTCGTGTTTAAATATAAATATAATTGCCTCCACTGGAAATAAAAGACACAAAAGGGAGCCCTTTTCTCTGCCTCTTCCACGGGGGCTGAGGGCATGGCCCAGGCTCAAACAGCGAGGAAGCAGCAGGACCAGGAGCCAAACGCGGGCAGCCTGCATCCAGAATCCCACACTCCGATCCGCAGTCTGTCCCTGCGGACGGCCCCACACACTTACCCGCCACCCAGCACTGTACGCCCGCCTGGTGCTCGGTGCTTTACACGGGTTCTCATTTAATGCAGTGGTTCTGCGCTAGAGATATTAGGTTCCCATTCACATGAGGTTCAGAGAAGGTAAGTGATTTGCTGAAGACCACACAGCTCAAATGCAGAAGAGCCAGAATTCATATCCAGGCGCTTTCTGATTCCAACATCTTATGCTCTTTTCAATTGTATTCTTCCAGACCAATTGCAAGAGACAGATCCTAGTATTACTTTTCAAGCCTAGACACCGGAAGCTATTATGCCATTAGTCTATGATAAACAGGGAAGAGCCAGCATTTCATAGCTTACACACGGCTCCATGTAGGGGCCCAGAAAAAAATTCTGGATTAAAGCCCAGAGAGCTTATTGAAAAGCAGATACCTCTCAGGCAAAGACGAGCAACTGATTGTCCTAAGGACCATCTGCGTGGGGAGCAATGCCTTAGTTCAGCAGCAGTTATTCCAAGTGAATTCTCTGCCGCAGGCCTGGCCTCCTTGGATCTTGGTGTTAGTGTTTGGCGATGGTGAATGCTCAAGATATTAAAAAATGGATAAGCAAACAGCCCACGTGCCCTTGAAACACACAACGTGATCCATCTGATGTTACACAGACATAGCTGCATAACACATATTGGAAAAATAGAAGAAAATACATAATATACCAATATGCCAGCTGTTGTTGTTTCTAGGGGTTGGGATAATGGGCACTTTTTAAATTTTCCTCTTTATATATTTTCCTCTTCTATATTTTCCCATGGTTCAGCCATGTAGTAAACATGACCAGAGACTAGATTCCAGTCTGTGGCGCAAAGTGCTTGTGCCTTGGACTGTGACTGAGAAGGAATTTTTGCTGTCATATCTCTGTTCTTTCTCTCTACCCTCCTTCCACCGCCCACTGCCCGCCCCGCCCCCTCCGGCGCACCCTTGTTGTTCACAGTGGCCCAGTGCTGGGCTGACCGCGTGTAAGTTGTGAGTGGTTCTCTCCCCCTGTCCCTGTGTGTCTTGCTCTCTTCCATAGCCAAGATCTTGGGGAAGGTGGGAGAAAGCCTAAGCCGGATCTGCTGTGTCCGCCCGCCCGTGGAGCGCTTCACCTTTGTGGGTAAGAGCCTGGACCTCCTTTCCCATCCTGCCTCTCTTCTCTCCCCATCCCTTTATTTATTCAGCCAACATCCCCCACCCCCCCCGCACCTGCTAGGGGCGACCTTTTATGGAACAATGATTTCGAGGAGACAGAGGTTAATGGGCTGCACTAGTGGGAGCTGCGATGGGAGCCCAGAGGGCGTGACCCACCAGCCCCAGGCTGCCTGGCGGCTCCCACTCCGTGATGTGCCCGTTCCTCACCCCCCACAGGGCGCGGCTACGTGTGTGAGAGAGTCCAGGAGTCCCTGGTTCTTCCCTCGGGTCCCTACAGCTCGGACAGTGTCGTACTCCTGGTGACGAGCTAAGAACACACGCTCTTTCCTTCATTCCCTCTGATTTGGGGCGGCTCCCCCGTGGACTCAGCACGGCTTAGGCTATCTGAGTCCCTGGGGCTCTTTCTGGGCCCCCGACTTCAACTCTGCAGAAGAGCTGGAGGCCTCAACCTCCTTCCTCTGACTCCTTGGGGCTGACTTCTGCCATTTCTGAGATTTCCAGTCTCAGGCATCTTGAGAAGGGACTAAGAGGGACAGTTGAGGAAGAAGGGAGGCAGGGGACCCAAAAGGTCTCTCTGTGGCTTTGCGCACATGCCGCGCCCCATGCAGGCATTGCACACCCACAAGCACACGCCAGAGGTTCTGGTGTTCACAGCTCCCTCGGACTGTTGCTGTGCTCCGCCACGTGGAAAATCTCCAGTGCTCAGTTTTGCTTGTTCTTTGAACCAGGTAACCCCTAAGGAGAGAGGGTCACCTCCTCGTGACTCAGACCTGTCTTCCTAGGTTTTGAGGACATTGCTATTCCCTAAAATGTAGACAGAAACAGAAGGCGCTCGGCATGAGTGTGTGTGTGTTCGTCACTGCCTCCCCGGAGAGGCTGTCTAATTCTGACGGTCCCAGAAATGTGACGTCTGCCCGGAGCCTACAGAGATGCCCTCTCTATTTTAGGCTGGGCTGCGCTGTCCCTTCACTCTACACAGGCGTCCCCTGTGCAGGGAGGCAAGCACACCCCTGCCTCCCACCCGCCCCACCTCCTCCCACGCACCCCTTCCGAGAAGCCCGGGGGAACTGCATGGCCGGTACCAAGGAGCGGGGGCCCTAATGCGTCTGCGTCCCCCTCCCCTCCTAGATGAGAATGCCAACCTGGGCACGGTGATGCGGTACGAGGAGATCGGTGAGTGGGGATGGGGAAGGGGGGCATTGGGAGCCGCCTGCTTCTACCTTGGGCAAAGTGGAGGAGGGGAGAGGCTTAAAATCCTGGATCATATTCGCTACTGGGTCTGCTCTCAGCACAGTCCCAAGCTGAGACTGAAGTCTCAGGGATCCCCGTACCTCTCCCAGCTGCACCCGCACCAGTTCCCAGGAGGTAGGCCTGGGTCCCTTGGTAATTTTCCCTCTGAAGCCTCCTCTTCCTCATCCAAAAGACATGGAAGTTGAGCATCAGTGCCAGGCAGAAAGTCCCTTCTTTTGCCCACAATCCTGCACTGGAGGCAGAAGGCCCTGGGTGATGAGGAGCCAGGAAGGAGCCGAAAGCCGCCTCTACGCCCTCCCTGCAGCCTTGGGCAGAGGCTGAGGCACTTACTGTCCACGTGAGAGCCATGTGGGCTCAAGGCCAGAGCAGGTGGCCTTGGGGGAGGTTACATGGAGCTGTCAGATGTAGGATGTTGAGCCCATTCACCCCAGGGAGGAAGCTGAGTCCTGGCTAACCCCGGCGAGTGACCAGAAAACTGAAGTCTTTCCAGAGTGGCTAAGAGGTACAAGTGGGGAACACAAGTGTCTGAAGCTGGGGAAAGAGCAGACAGATGCCAGGATGCAGGTGGAGTTAGCAAAGGTACCAGGTGACAAGGAGGGCCAGGGACAACTGGGTGCCTGGATCTCTAGGGTGAGGGCCAGCCTAGTGCCGGGCAGACATGCTCAATCTTAAACTTGAGCTGCAAAGATATTGCAGGTCTCCCCCTGCCGATTGGCCTCTGTCTAGGGCTGGAGGTCACAGCTTCTGTGGGACCCTGGGAGACGGGCTGTCCTTGAGCATCAGGTTCTCCCAGGAGGCCCAGCAGATGTGACATCACTTCCAGGGGCTTCTCTGGGGCGCAATTGACTCAGCTCTTACTGGTTTGCTAGAACCGCTTGTAAGATTTTCAGGAATTTTATGAGCCGGTTGTTAAATGGAGCCAACACAACAAATTAAATTATATTAAGTAACAGTTAAGCAAATCGTATTAAAAACAAAAGTAATGAATACTCAAAGCTCCTCACTTCCTAATTCTTTTCCTGTATTTTAATGTCCTTTATTTACCGGCACTTCACTGTCTGAAGGCCACGAAAAGTGGCGCCCAGCTTCCTGGGCACCCCCAAAAGCAGGCAGGAGCGTTCCGCTCCAGGTTCCACGGCCCCAAGCCCCCGAAAGGTCTCGGAATGGGTACGACAGCCCCACACCCCCTTCCCCGAGGCGCCACACCTGGCCGGGAACTTCTGTCCCAGGGCTCGCCTGGGCTCCACCTCGCGGACTCCTCTCTCGGAAAGGAAATCCAGGCGGCCAGAGCCAGCAGGGTGGATCCCCGCCGCACCTGGCACAGGTGGCGGCTGCCTCTGCGTGCGGTTGGAGCGGGAAGGGCCGCAGGGCCTGGGCTTCGCATAGCGCAGATTACTGGGCAGGGAGTGAGCTGGAGAGCCCTGGTCTTGCTGCTGGTCCGGATCCACTGGGGTGAAGTGGGGAAGTGGGAGGGAGCTGCCCTGCTTCCGACCGCCCTGCTCTGAAGCCCTCTGGCTCACGCCTTCCCTTTTTGCCATCCCCTTGCCTGCTTCACGGGAAGGGAAAATCCACTTTAACTCCTTGCTCAGTTAGCATCTGTGGCTCCATGTTTTTAACCAGCTGACTGCTCCTCCGGGGGCTGCCCCAGGCCAAGGGCTTTGTGGGCTGGAAGGCCTGCATTAACCTCGTACAATAAACTGGGAGAATCACTGCTGCCCTCTAGTGGCCATACGTGGGCTCCCAAGCCCTGCGAGAGCCTCTGTGACAAAAACACTGCTCTGGTCCTGCAGGAGAAGGGGCAGACCCCACTCTTCCACTTCCTATGCTCTGGCTTAAAAAAAAAAAAATCCAACATTATATTCGAGTGGGAAAGTGAGTCCCTGGCTGGGAAACAGAAGAGAGGTTGATTTCCGTGGCTATAGAGCACACGAGGTTTCTCACCAGGGCTGTTGACATTTGGGTAACTCTGGGCTGTGCGGCGGCCACACGCCACGTAGGATGTTGAGCAGCATCCCTGCCCTCTAAGCACCAGATACCAGTAGCCCCCCTCGCTCCCCAGCCTTGACAACCCAACATGTCTCCAGACACTGCCACGTTCCGGGGACAACGTTGCCCCCAGTTGCGAACCACTGAGGAAGAGAGAGCTGAGGGCCAGCACATCCTCTGGACCCGGCCACCCAACCGAACCCTTAGGCGCTAGAGTTTCAGGAAACCGACCTGGACCCTGGGTGGCTCCTAGTGGGAATCGGGAGCAGCGAGATCCCGGGAGTGAACCTGGTCCGGCTCCTCTGAGCCATTCGAAGGCTGGTTCGTCTCCACAGGTGGGGAGTTGGGCCAGCGACCCCATGGCTAACACAGGGGGAGGGAGGCATCGCCGACCAGGGCGCTTCCCCGGAGACCCCGTGCTGTGAGAGCCCAGGCCAGGACAGAGAGCCGGCCAGCCCAGCGGCGCTCGGACGGCCTGCCCGCCCGGCCTGGTGGTCAGCTCGTCCGCGCTTCACTTAGGCATGCTTCCTGAGCCCCCACTGTGTGAGGGTCACTCGGACCAGCCCTGGGGATATCAAGGTATATAAGGTCCCTGCATGTGGACAGAACATTAGGCTACGGCGTGACCTGGGGGATGGAGGGGAGGAGAGCCGGCAGGACTGTCAGGAGTTAAGGCCCCAGCGCTCCACGGGGCTCCCTGAGGGTGGCCTGCCTGGGCCCTGTGTGTCAGCAGCCCCAGGCCCCGTCCTCTGAACCCTCTAGAGACCCCTGCAGCAGGGACAGGCTCAAGACCTGAGAGTCCTTGTCAGGTCCCTAAACTAGCTGCGGTGTCTAAGGCCACCTCAGCCTCAGGGTCCAGGATGGCAGCGTTGCTGGAAGCCTCAGAGTAGGGCTGTGGCTCTGTCTCAGATAAGATGACCACAGGCACGGCCTCTGGGACTGAAGACGCCACCCTGAGTCACACCCTGGCGGCCGAGGTCTCTCCCCCGTGGCTCCGAGAATCCCAGGGTTCCTTTTTCCCCCATTGCTCAGCTTCAATGAGCGAGTCCGTCTGCCGCCTGCTCTAAACCACAATGGGCCTCCCTGGGCTGATTCAGAATGAGCATAATGAGGGAAGAAAAACAACTGACACGCGGGAAGTGTCCCTGGGAGTCAGACAAGGGGGGCTCAGCATCACTTCTCAAGTCCTTAGCTGGGTACCTGGCCTGGCCGCGTAAGGAGAGGACATCTGATGAGCTCGCCATGGCCTGGGTACGCCACCATGTGGGCATCTGTGATGGGAGACAAACCCAGACAATGCACAGCAGCAGAGCAGCAAACGCCACGGAGACCTGACTTGGATATGAAGCAACAGAGGCCCTTACACATAGACAAGGCATGTGGCTGGCTCTGTCTCTGTTAGAGGGACTGGCTGGCCCGGTTTAGCACAGAAAGACCCCTACCCCCTGAAACCCCTCAGTCCCAGGCGCAGCAGGAGGTGGGGATGGTCTGTAGACGAGCCCCGGGGGAGAGGCGAGCATCGGTCTCTGTGCTGCACACAGCATGGCGCAGGGGTGCCTGGGAGGCTGCGGTCTGGCGCCCCAAGGGTGGCAGATTTCTGGGGGCATCAGGGAAGAAGGCTGAGAGTCTCATGCTTCCCAGGTCTTTGCTTACTCCCTTTGCCAACTTTGTCGCCCTCCTCAGAGCTGCGGATCTTGCTGCTGTGTGGCAGTGACCTGCTGGAGTCCTTCTGCATCCCGGGGCTCTGGAATGAGGCGGATGTGAGTAGCGAGGTTACAACGCCGCATGCACACGCTGGCGTGGGGGAGGACGGGGCAGGGACACTTGATTTTGGTCTCTGGTCTCTCTGCTCCCCACAGCCTCTCTCCCCAACCTAAGCATCCCCTTCCTATGAGCTCCCAGGAGGGTGATCTCTTCGCATCTCTAGGGAAGAAAGTCCTCACCCAGCCCCAGGCTGGGCCTCCTGATTTTTCACACTCTCTCTTCTGTGCTTGCTCCCGTAAAGCCCTGGGGACAGAAGCAATCTGAGTCATAGAACACCTTCTCCAAGGGCGCTGGGACAGGGCATGTGTGTGCTCCTGAGGGTGCTGCTGGCGGAAGGGGGAAGGCGGGGTGGCAGGGGTTTTAAACACCCTTTACCCTTTTGAATAGGGTTTTGTTTCCCTTGGATTTCTTTTGAAGAGGTGGTAAATACCATCCTAGAATTCCCTCACCAGGAGAACGGGGTCAAGAGGGGAGACATTAATGGCCAAAGGTCAGTAGGAGCTTCCTGGCCATTGGCTTGGAATAGAGGGAACCAGGAAGTTTAACTTATGTCACTTAGAAGCTCAGTGGATGTCTTTTGTTACCAGACCTGAGTGGGCTGGTCTTAAGCCAGTTAATTCAGGAGCTGCTCCCCCTTCGTACGTGCATTCATTCTCGTTCTTCCGTTCATTCATTCCCCTGACGGCCGGAGCCACTGCTCCCAGCCCATAGTCCTCGGCCAGCGGGAGCCTGGGCGCGGGCGATCCAGACCTAGTGCTTTTCATTACCTTGTGTGTGGCTGTGCAAATCGCTCAGCCATTCCCGGCCTTGGTGGGTTTTTTTTCTTTTTAATCGTTAAAATCTATAGAGTGTTATATGTAGCATTTGGAGGTTTTAAAGAAATATATAATACAGTCCCTGCCCCCAAGTATTAGGTGCACGACGTGTACATATGAAATTTTTTCATGCACCTATATATGTCTCTGGAGAGATCCATCAGGGTCAGACTCAAGAGTCTAGTTCTCCTCTAACACAACTCGTAACAAAGTATGTCCTGAGCACCAGCTTTCCCACCTCTGAAATGGGCATCATCATGGTGCCTGCCTCAGAGGATTCTGGGAGAATTAAATGAGATTGTCTAGGCAAAGCACCTTGCCTAGCACCGGACACACTGTTCCACACAACGAATGTTAACGCGTGAATCTACCTGAGCGCACACAAAGGTGTCACACAGCTACTCCAGGAGAAGGGCACACACGCTGACATGCCGTGGGGTAGCAGGAGGGAGGGAGCACTCAGGGAAGCAAATTACACTGTGTGGGCAGTGCTTTCACCTCCAGCTCTCAGTGATTTCCGGCAGGTGAAATTCTAAACCCCCTTTCAGTTCTGGATTAGGTGGCTTAATTAACTTTGACTTTCCTCTCTACTTCACAAGGTGCTATGAAAGTAAAAGGCAATGCGGGCAAAGTTCCGGACGAGATCTCAGCAAAGCTCTTTTGTGAATCCAGGCAAAGCCGGGCGGTGTGCGGGGCCGTCCGCAGGGGAGGCCCGCGCAGTGTTGGGGGGATGACGCGGCAGCCCGCGGGAGCAGGGAGCCTCCGGGGGCTCCTCTCGAGGGCAGACCAAGGCCCTGTGCAGCCTGAGACTGACCCGGCTTGGGGTCCTGGAAGCGTGGGCAGGCGCCTTGCTCCTGCTGGTTCGCTTGCTGACCGCAGGTCCTCTAACTTCTGCCCTTGGTGTCATCAGATCCAACATCTGAAGAGCAGAAAAAAGTGCCCCAGGCCTCTCCTCTTCCACTTGGTCCCCTGTGATGAAATGGCACCTTGGTTAGGGCAGAAGCTTTGAGGAGCCAATAGCTGTTGATTTACTGGGAATGTGAGAGGGATTTACTGGGAGTGAGACTGTGACCTCCTCACCTGTGTTCCCACTTGGCTGATCACTCAGATCCGGGGCGCCCAGCATGGCTGTTCCCAGGGGGCACAACCGTCCCAGGCCAGCGGGGCCCTGCACCCAGTCTGGCCTGCCCGCGGCCCAGGCAGCAGGGGCTCCGGGTGAAGGAGATGCTCAAAGCTTACTCCACGGGGGCTTCTAGGGCCTAGAGCTCAACCTCCCCACCCTACCCCGCCGATCGCTCAGTCCTCTGATTCCACTGCAGCCAGTCTGTGGCGTCCTTAGAACCATGATGTCTGAGGTAGAGGGAAAAAAAAAAAAATCAAGGAGCTGTTTCCTTATATAATAAGTGTGAATCTCAGCCCACAACACAGGTGCGCCAGAAATGTTACATTTAATTTATTTAAACCAAATTAAAATTCAACTGCAAATCTTTATCCCACAGAGATGATGAGAAGTTCATCTTAGTTGTTACTGATGAGCAGAACCTGAGAGGCTCTTGTTCACCCTGAAAATGAATATCTATTCACGGGGGTCCAGACAGTCACCTCTCTTCAGGCCCTGAAGGTGGTGACCCTCTGCTCTGTGCCTACCTGGGACACGGGACTCCTGGCTGAGTCTGGAAGCCCAGCGCTGGGCTCCACCCACCTCTGGCCACCAGGCCCCATTTTCCTCTGAGGCTTTGCCCTAGTATGGGGGTGGGGGAGACAGCAAAAGCTCTCCTTTTCATTCTGACGGCATCTCCCCAATTTTCTCTCTCCTCCTCGGGACATCTGCTGGCATCTCGTCAGTGACCTTAAAGCCACTGACTTCAAAAGATTCCGTTTTCTGCCCTGCCACTTCTCATAAAGGGTCCGGTTCTCTGCTAGAAACAGGGTTGGGGTTGAGCAAAAAGTAGGTATAGGTGTCACTTGAAAGGAGGCAGGGCTGGAGCGGGCCTGCCTCGGGCCAGGGCGGTGCGAGTGAGTCCTTGACTTTGCGCAGGAAAGATTCACAGCACGAGTCCAGGTGATTTTGAGGGCACGTTTATGAAAGCTGGGGACAGTGACACAAGGAAGGGCCTAGGAGAGAAGCAATAACAGGAGGGAGACAGGCAGGGCTGCTGTGGCTCACTGAGAAGCCCGGGAAAAGGGGGCCTCGGAGCCAGGTTCGCGGGGTTAGTCCAGGACCATCTGTCACTGCCCATTGTTCCCTGGTTGCAGGTCCCACGGGGGTCCCTTCGCATTGAGGAGATGTGTGCCTGTCGGGGACAGAGGCGGGAAGGGCAAGGCGCGGGCGGCTCCAGGGAGGGAGAGGGCATCCTGGGTCCTCCGTCTTGAGGGCTCTAAAGCCTGGGAACTTAGGGGAGGTCTTAGGGGAAGGTCTCAGTAGAATGTTTATCAGCCTTTCCAAATGTGTCCTGTCAGGGCTGGGCAGGGGGTCTAAACAGCAATGCGCCAGGGGAGGCAAGACCACGCCAGGGGCAAGGTCCGGCATCAGGTTTGCCCACTGCTAGGCACGCGCGGCTTTCCTCCGTGGTGGCCTCTGTATCTGGCTGTATATTGCTCGGTCAGCGTGGTCAGCTCTCTCAGTTACCGCATTCCACTGGCTGAGGAAATTTCCTGGCTTCCTACTAACCTGCCTCATGGGAGCAGGAAACTAGTTAGTTGCTCAGTGAATTATTCCACTGCCCTTATTTGGGCAAGGTTAGCGCTCAAGGTCTAGAAAAGGAAGGTCTTTCTTTGAAGACTGGGTATTGGGTGGGCCCTGTTTATTCTTCTAGAAAGTTCTACCATCTGAAGCTTGCCTGGAAGGGACCCATTTTAGGCATTTCGGTTAACAGCTATGAGATTACCAGGGATGAGGTGTGTGAGACCTGCTTCTATCCCAGGTTTCATTCATTCATTCAACTCTTGCCAGAACACATACCCCTAATTTATTACCTGATGTCACAGATGATACTTGTTGGCCAAGACCTGTACTCAGTGACTGTGAGCCCAAAGCCTTGAGTCTTCCCGTGACGGCAGGAGAACAGAGCTTCCGGGAACAGTCCCGGCCCTGGCTTTGCATTCCAGTCTCCCATGTCTCCTCCAGAGTCATCAGAAACAAGACAGGCGAGAAGCCACCAGTTCAAACAGGTTGGAGGAGAACTAGAAACCTCTCTACCCTTCTGTAAAGAAGGCTCCAAGGACATGTGGGGCAGCACTGTCCCCACCCAGGTGGCGCGGCAGCTGAGACAGCCTGTCCTACAGACAGCAGGACTGCAAAGGCCTTTTTCCATCACAAAGTTCCTACCAAGTCCCTCTTGCTCTTTGCTTTGGATTCCTGAGCTGATGCTCTTTATCCAGAAATCCAATTACACAACTAAAGGGGAGCCCCCAACAGGACCCCTGGGCATTTCCTGTCAGGCACAAAAACCCATTGGCCCCGCAGAGAATTCTGACGTCCTCTGACTAATGACCCAGGCCTACCCCGTACATTCCACGGCGAGAAAATTCCATACGTGTTCAGCAAGTTTCCCGCCGTGGGCTCCAACAGGGCTGCTTGTGTGTCCTGGAAGTTGGCATTTTCAGTCTTGATTCTTGGGAGAAATCAAGATTGCAGATTCCTGGACTAGTCGGAGATCAGGACCTAGGCCCCCTAGCCGGCCCCATTTCTGAACCTTTAATTAGAGAAGCAGTCTCCCCCAGGAGCCCCGATCTTTGCCGTGCTGCGCTGCTTCCTGACGCCAGCACCAGCAGGTATCTTGGCAGGACCAAGATCTGCCAAAGGCTAACCAGTCAGCCACAGACAGAGTCACGAAACAGGAAGATTTTATACCCGCTTCCTCCCCTTCCCCAATCAGCACCCGTGGTCTGAGGACCGGATGCTGCCAGCTGCCTGGTCCATTATGTTATAATGGGAGGCAGTCTGGCAAATAAATTCTGACTCAAGCACTTTTTCCTTCAATCAATCCTGTAGCTAATACTTATTGAGTGCCCAGTATGAACATCAGCACATATTTGCCCTCGAGGCCCTTGCAATCTAAAAATATCTTACATTTTATTACACTAGCTCCTTATAGTTCATGAACTACAGCATGTAAACAGTTCGGGAGAGCTGCCGAACCTAGTAAGCACTCAGTAAATGCTGGCTGTTATTCATTCAT